GCCTGATGCTGCATTCCTCTTCATAAAGCACTGCTGACAGAAGCTTTGGATGTTAAGGAAAGGACCCACAAAGCTCAGGAGAAGCAATGTTTTCTGCTCCCTAAGAGCCCAGAGGACTCATGGGGCCAGAGTTGTTGTGACTTCTAAGTTCAGTTCTTAGGTACAGAATGAGGCCCTGAAACCCTTTAGACCAACCGCAGTAGGTGGGAGGAGACAAGACACATCATTTCAACAATCCTGTTATGTAATACATCATCTCCATCCACCTTCTTAAGAGTCCTAATCATACCTTGGAGTTGGGTAGGTGATGCTGAATTCATTTGTGACATTGTTGATGTGTGCCATCGAGTTAGAACCGATCCATTGCAGGTTTTCAGAAGCAGTAAATAGCATGGGAGGAGATTTCTCATCCTTCTCCAGCAGAGCAGCTGGTAGATTCAAACGGCATGCCTTTGGGATTTCAGTGCAGCTTCTTACTACTAGGCCATCAGAGCATTTGTAAACTTCAGAGGACTTGCTTGACATTGAAAACTGTTGGGGGGGAGGTGATGATAGTGGTGCTGGTGGTGTGTGATGGTGGTAATGATACTTGCCGCTTTTGTCTATGCCTTTGCTCCAGAAATGTTTTCACATTCAAATAAAGTTACCGTCTCTTCCAGTTCTTTTGGAAGAAACAATTCACAAAAAGTTGAGTAGACAATAAGGGAGGGAGTCAATGGGAGAAGAGAGCACTGGGAAAGTCAGTTTGTAACTTAAGGTAACATTAGTCAGACAGTTGGTGAACAGACACATGTGAAGGATTTTTCAGGGTCTCGGCTCTGTTCTGAGATTTGTCTAGAGTGAAGGTGTGAGTAAAAGAGCTGAGTTACTTACCATTTCCAGCTATATATAGTATCAGGCACAAAGCTGAAGCTAAATAGCTATTTGATGAGTGAATATTAAATTACTAACAATATTTTTTAAATAATACAGTGCTAACTAAACAGAAAAATGCATCTCAAGATGTAGCTCTGTTTTCTCTCCCTCAAATGATTAGTCTTCTTACCTGGCTGTCTCTTCACAGAATAGCTCTTCCCCCCCCCTTTTCTTTTTTTCAGTAGCAACACTTTCAGAACTAGAGTTTATTAGAATTTAAAAATAATGCTCAAGATTTTTAAAACAAAAGACCCAAGGCCACAGATAACAGGTTCAGTACACAATTACTGCCAAGTATTGGAGTTGAGTCTCTCAAAACTGTCCCAGATGCTCACACCTCTCCATTCTATTGTTCCCCTTTGCCTTATGATTCTGCAAGAGTTCTGGTTCAGCCCATCTGGATTATCACTCCAATAAGTTCAACAGAAAGGAAGCTCAAAACTCTCACTGTTATTGCAGCCAAGGAGGTCAGTGAATGCAGTCTTTCTCTCATGCTGACTTCATCATGTGCCTCCCAGGGCATTGGACAGGTTCTTCCTGGTTCAGTCACAACTTATGGAGCAAAACTGGAACGGATATGATTTGTAAAATGCAGGTGTACCAGAACGATAACAGAAATGGGGGAAATTACGTATTGAAGCCCTGCTGGAAATGCAGCCTTCCCTTAGAAAACAAATGCTGTATGCACACTGCATAACAACCAAAGCTCATGATTGACAGAGTCAGAAAATCAGTGCATCGCGGAGAGATGCCATCCCACCATGCCACTTTGAGTGCAAGTCACCTCCACAATCATGGCAGTACTCCAGTCTGCTGTAGCAGACTTCTGAAAGGGTTCACTGTGCCTTTTCTGAGTCTTCTGTTCCAAGACTTTGACCTGTAATTTTCCCCATGGTGCCAGTACATCCATGCTTGACAAATTTGAGTCTGTGCTGATTTCTCTGCATTGGTAGTGACTGAACCCATTCAAACTGGCTCAAAGCGCCGATTCTTCCCCTTTCATTTCAACCACAAGCACTATCCTGACTCTCACAATCATCAACTTGCCTTATTTCAGAAAACAACTCAAAAGTCATGTTCCCTGACTCCAAGAAAAACTGACCAACAATGCCCTTCTTTAACTCACTTTGTAGAGACATCTGACTTTGTAAAGACATGCCACCCTTTGTAAAGACAACACTCATGAAAACTTTCCTTCTAGATCATAATTTGTCATTGTTGTGTGTTATTTTGTAAGAACCAACTCATAGCTGACCCTTCAGTGGGTTTTCAGAAGTTGTAAGCTGCACAGAAAGAGATTACCCATCTTTCTCCCAGGGAGCAGTTGGTGGATTTGAACAGGCAGAGATGTACAACCTTTAGGGTAGCAGTACAATTCCTTACAGACTGCATATAACACCAAACCAAATCTGTTGCCATCAAGTCAATTCCAAAGCATGTTGATCCTCCGTGGGGTTTATAAGGCTGTTAATATTTTTAAGTTTTTTCTTTATTTGAGTGAAAGTTTGCATAGCAAATTTCTTTTTTATTCAATCATCGATATATATTTTGTCTTATAATATTAATTTTAATACCTACAACATATTAAAGGGATTGTTTTACAGGAAACCCTAGTGGCCTAGTGGCAAGAAGGCATGTGGTTCAAGGCCACCAGCTCTTCCATGAGAGAAAGATGGGCAGTCTTCTCCCGTGTGTTTCAAACTGCCTTTGAAAACCCACCAGAGGGTCAGCTATGAATCAGTTCAGATTCTACAGTATGCACAACTACAACAACCACAACGTATTTTAATTTTTCCCACTTCCTCCATATAGTTCTGATTTCCATCTATCCTTCTTTACGTCTGTGATATTGGGCTGATCATCACCTTTCTGTATATTACAAGGCTGCAAATCTTTTTAGGAGGAGATTACCCATCTTTCTCCTGAGAATTCAGACAGTAGATCTTCTTGTTAACAGTCTAACACTCTCACTGTGTGCTTAGGGCACCTTATATGTTTCACATTCCAAAATCCCAAATTCAGTGCCATCAAGTCTGCTAGGCTTCATGACATCACTCCATCAAGTGTCTAAGGCTGTAAATCTTAACTGGAGAAGACTGTCCAGCTTTCTCCTGTGGAGTGACTGTTGGATTCGAACCCCAGAGACTCTTGGTCTTTAGATTAATAGCATAATGTCCTATGGACTATATATCACCAGAGCTTTTATATGTACATACATATATATGTGTATACACAGAGAGAGAGAGAGAGAGATCTGCATATATTTGTTGTTGTTGTGTACCATTGAGTCAGAACCAACCCATGGCTAACTAACCCTCTAGTTGTTTTCAGAAGCAGTTTAATCACAAGGAAGGAGACTGCCCATCTTTCTCTGCAAACACAGCTGGTAGATTTGAATCACCTTCTTACCATTAGGCCGCTTTGCTGTTGTTAGGTCCCATCGAGTATGGACCCCATGAACAACAGATCTCAACCCTAAATTCTGTGTATTCTGCCTTTTATACGCAAATAATAGGCACTTGTTTTCCAATTACTTCTTCCCTCCACAGGTAATTTTTTAAAGGCATGACACTAATTTTTTTATTAGCAATTTGTATTATTTTGCATATGTAATATAAATAGAAAATTACATATTACATATTTAATAGAAATAGAAAATTACATATTTTATGTATTATATATAAAATATAATTTAATATTTAAAAAATTTTTTAGAAGAGGAAAGATGATGTAATGTCCAAATATCTGAGTCATTTTAAACAGAGGAAGAGGCACAACCTGCCTAAAAAGTACACAAAGGGACAAATGGTGAGCAGTGCCGAGGAAGCGGAGTGTCTGATCGTGTGCAGATGGAGGTAGTCCGGCTCCCAGCCTTCCTCTGCGCTCCCGCAGCTGTGTGCTGTTGTGTTGTTTTCCTTCCTCCGGGAGTCTTGTTTGGTGGCTCTGAACCAGCAGTCAGAGCCACTTTGGCATATTCAATGTCACCATGAAAGTATTTGTGATTGACACGCTCAGCAGGGTGATTTGGAATAAGAACCTTTGATTTTCCCAATTAGATAAAAGAATTTTGTTTCTGGAAGCAATCTTGCAGAAAAGGTTCTGTGATCCGAGAAAAGGGAGGGAATGTTTTTTAATCACACAGGAAATCAGATAGTGCCTATGAGTGTTTATATAACTATGCTATGTAGATAAATTTTAAAATCATTATCTTTCCTACCAATTACAGCTTCCCACACTCCTAGACAGAAGTTCTCAAGGTATTGATCTAAGAGCCTGGGGAAGAATATTATCTGCTTTGTCTCCAAGAATCCAAGACGTAAGTGGCTTGATGATGGTCATCATAATTTCACTATAAATTTCCACCATTTTCTCACACTTAAATGATTTAATTGTACCTCAGACCAGTTCAGGGAGAAACCGATTTGATCATTCTGTCTAACAATTTCAAAGCCCTTGTTTGTATCCTTAATTATGTGTGCTCCTGAGCAGAGGGAAGGGGGGAAAATTCCTGGCAAGCAGTGCCACTGGTAATAAACAGCTTGTCTGATGTGACACAAATTACCAGTGAATTGAAGTCTTCCAATTACTGAAAAACCCAACTGATCCTACTGCCACTGAGTCAATTCCAACCCCTGGTGACCATCCACCAGGTGTCTGAGGCTGTACATCTTAACGAGAGCACCGTGTTCGTCATTCTCCCGCAGAGCAGTGGGTGAATTAGGACCACCAGCCATTCTAAGAGCAGCTCACATAGAACCCACTCCACCACCAGGGCTCCTTTTCCAGTATTGAAGTGGCCCATTATTCTTATTAAACTCTTAAAACACGCATAAATACATACTACTAATGATAATGACTTTTGGCATGGTAACAGGAGGCCTAGTCCTTGGAACAGGACATCATGTTTGGAAAAATAGAGGCTCAATAGCGAAGAAGATGCATGAGAAGATGGATTGACACGGGGCATGTAACAGTAGTCTCAAGCACAGCAGAGATTATAAGGATGGCCCAGGATCGGGCAGGGTTTCAACTATTGGAGGAGGCTTGGTGGCACAACAGTTAAGTACTCAGCTGCTAACTAAAAGGTTGATGGTTCAAGCTCACCTACCAGCTGTCCAGGAGATAGATCTAGTGATCTGCTTGGTCCTGTAAAGATATTGCAAAAATAAAAATAAATAAATTGTTGTTGTTGTTGTTGTGTGCATTAGAGTCAGAACTAGCCTATGGCTGACTCTCCAGCAGGTTTCCAGAAGCAGTTAATAGCGAGGGAGGAGATTCACCATCCTTCTTCAGCAGAGCCACTGGTGGCCTCTAACCACATCCCTTCAGAATTGTTTTAGGTTAGCGAACTTAAAGAAGAAATCAGAGAGAGCGAGAGAAAGCTTAATGCAGCTTTATTAAAAGGGGGGTGGGAAGGGGAGCTGCTGGGTGAGTTTCTCATCCTGGAGAGGCAGAATGGGAAGTCACACTGTGAACTTACAGGGGAGGATTTTTATAAACAGAGTCTTTAGGGAGGGACATTCCATTCTGATTTAGGAGCCACCTGCGAGCTCAGCCAGACAAGCAAGGCCATGTGCTCTTCTTATCAGCAGCAAGAAAGGTAATCACCATTTGAGTTCTGAATTCTTCATTCTTCTCTTTGACCCCCTTTGCCCAGACTAACACCTCAGACTCTTTTTAGTGATAAAACAGGGTGACGTATTTTCCTTTTGCTATTTCCTGCTGAACAGGGGTGATGATCTGGGGGTTCAGAGCCTGGAGTGAGTTAGTCTGGGATTAGTGGCCAGGGGAGAATTAAGGTAGTCATCTCCTTGATCCTGTGAAGTAAGAACTTAAAGAGACGTGGAGTGATTAATAACAATATTATTATGATTACTATTGGTCTTAGAGAAGGAATTATTTAAGCTGGGAATAGGTTTTTTAGTTAATTTGGGAGAAGGTTTTTGGTTGAATTTTGTATAGAGTTTTATTACACTAAAAGTGTTGTCCTCATTCAGCTACAGTGTGCTTGTGTATACAGTTCTTATATTCCACTGCAGAGGGTGCTAGATACAAGTGGGCTTAGTGTTCTTATTAGGCTTTGGTTTTCAGAAGGGAATGTGTTCTTGAATGGTGGAACACTCAGTTTGGGCTGATGGAATGGCTTGAAGTGTTTTAGTGGACTGTGGTCTAGAGAAATTGATTGGTACTGCTGCTAGGTCATTGTAAAGAGGCATACAGGAAACAATGAAAAAGGTTGGTTGCCATTTGACTTTGGTTAAGGAATAGTAAGGTGTAGGTGCCCTGGATAATTTGGAACCAAGTTGGAGCCTGCATAGTTTGTGGCTCTCCAGCTTGGAGAATGTCATTGGAGACTTGTACTTGAGTATTGGCATTTAGAGCATAGAAAATTTGCTTAATGAGGGGAACATGTTTGACTTGAGAAGGGTGATGTTAATGTGGGTCACCCATGACCTTAATATCTGTGGGAGTGGTCAGGATGACTGCACAAGGCCTGCTTTAGTGTGGTAGGAGAGGCTTGGGTGCATTCTGTTTGATGAGAATGGCGTTTTTTTAAGTAACTTTAGAAGTTTGGTACAGACCTTCAGAGGAGAGTCTGGGTAGATAGCAGTGTGAGTGTTTTTAAAAGTAATTGTTTGAGGAGGGAGAGACAAGGCATGATACTAAAAGAAGGGACTTGGCGAGCAAGTTACTGTTTAGCAGAAGTAGTTGGCTGTACATCAGTTGTCAGGAGCCTAGAAAAGAAGGTGAACAGAGTGCTATTCAGATACAGGCTAAGGCAATAGGAAGTAAGTTAACTTAAGACTTGTGTAACCTTAGGCAACGAGGAGGTAAAATTATCCCTCTATGCTGATGACATGATAGTATACTTAGAAAACCCTAAAGACTCAGCAAGAAAACTATTGGACGTTATGGAAAAGTAAAAGAAAAGATTCTTTCATT